CATACACCCAGCAATCACCCTGAAGAAATAATAATAATTCAAAAAAAAAGAAAAAAAAAAAAAAAAAGAAAAAAATTTCCATTTTAAACGGGCACCAAACTCAATAGTTCTGCTTTGGAAAGTCACTTTTCCCGTTGGTTTTAGCCTGGCATTAAGCTGCACAGGAGCTCGCCCCGAGGCCGGACAAAACTTTTGGAGAGCCCTGCCAAGGGTGCGCACCCCGAGGGGAGCCCTGCGAGCCCCAAGGGACCCGAGCCCTGTCCCCCACCGCCGGGACGAGGAGGAGGAGGGACACTCCGGCCCTGCCTCCCCCCAGCCCGGGCCCCCTCTTACCTGCCACCGGGGAGGGCTTGCGCAGCACCAGCCACCTGCTCTTCCACTGCAACGAGAGGCAAAGGGACAGGGTTAGCCAGGGCCGGGCAGGGGAGAGCGGGCTCTCTCCCCTCGGGGAAAAGGGGCGTCGGTCGGGGACCCCCGGCCCCGCAGGGCCGAAGGGGCGCTCGGAACGGGGACCTTTTTTCCGTCCCTCAACTTGACGTGACCCTCCACCACCACGGAATCCGTCATCTTCAGTCATGATTCCGGACAGCTGCGCCGGCTCGCTGCGCCCGCCCCACGCTCCGGCCGCCCGAAGGGTCACTTCCAAAATAGCCTTAGGAGGGCCCCGCGCGGGCGGCGCGGCACTGCCCGGCCCCACCGCGCTGGGGGGAAAGGGGGTCCCGGGAACCGTTTCACTGACTTCTTTGTTCACGTGTTTTACTGTGCGCGTGGTTTTGGTTTGCTTGTGGGTTTGTTTTTTTTTTTTTTTTAATCATTATTACTTTTTTTTCTCCAGGGTTTCAGAGCGGGAGGCGCGGGCCGGCGCATCCGGAGCGTCGCAGCCCCGCTCGGGCCGCCTCGGTGGATCCGCTCCGGGCGGGACCCCCGCCCCGATCCGGCTCCGGGCTTTGCGGCCGCCCGGCGGGGCAGCCCCGCTCCGGGCTTTGCCGCTGACCCGACCGGGGCTGCCCCGCGCCCGGGCGGCCGCAAAGCCCGGACCGGATTTTCCTCGCGGAGCGGGGCCGGCAGAAGCACCCCCTTACCGCACCTTCCTTATAACGCCCAATTCTCACTTTTCAAAAGTGTAATTACAGCTCTCCTTGGCTCCCAGAAGACATGCAGCCAAGTAGCCCAGATAAAAATAACCTTCTCTTTTTTTTTTTTCTTCTTTGCAATGCAACTGTCACGAGATAACAACATGCTTATGCCAAGCCCACAGCAGCTACAATTAATGGAATAAGATGTGTTAATGATGTCCTCAGATTTACTTCCACGAGCAATGGACTAATTAGAGTCCATTATTCCAAAAATACTCCTGCTGCATCTTATTTGATGGTAATTAGTTCTTCAGTTTTTTTGAACAGTACCACAGCACATTTTTCTTTCAATAGCATAACAGAAGGGGTTTTTAGATGTTTGCATTTATTTTTTTCCTTTTAATCGATCACTTTGCATGGAATAACACACAATTTAATAAAACCATCTTTAAGTGTGTTTTGTAATGAATTAGGAAAGTGTTTGTTCCACTGGCTTTGCATTCCAATTCAATTTCAATATGAAGTTAGGGAAAATATCAGATAAAATTTCACTAGTACATCTAAGTTGGACTTTCATTTTAACCAAAGTGATAATCACTTCAAGGAGGTGAAAACTATGGAAGATGAGTTTCCATGGGGTAATGCTCAACAGAAAGACAGAAGGCAGAAGGTGCTGGAGTGCCCCGCAGGAATGTGACTGGTGTCAGGGGTGTGAGAGGTCAGGCAAGGACATCTCACTTATCCTGGTCATTTCCTTTTCACTCCTGCTGTGGGTCTGTGCATTTAATACAGTGCTAGTCACCATACAGCCGATGCTAAACTAAATGTTTTTAATTTAGTTCCACAAAGTCAATGCAGTAACAGTGGACAAACAGGCTGCTTTGAAAGTCAAAAATTGATTTTAATGCATTCAAAGTATTACAGTATCATTTGGAGATTTGCTATTTAGACCTTTGAGGGCAGAAAACAGACCATTCAACATACTTTTTTAAAAAGGTGTTATTGTTTGTATTGGTGTTGCTGTGTAGCGATACAAGCAGCATGGATTTTGAAAACAGGACAGCTGAAAAGCTCTACACAAATTGTCAGAAACACAAGTCTAACACCTTTCCAATCAAACAGCCACTTTCTTTAATGCAACAGAAGAACAGAGAGAGAACACATATAACACAAAACCAGAAGATCATAGGTATGCACAGTGTGATGGATATTAATTTCAAAGTGAAACTGAAGTCACAGAACAGACACAGACATTCTGAATGGCTTCAGCTTTGAATGGAAACCTGTTCCTGATGAATCCCTCCCAAAGAAGAGTAAATAATTCCTTCATGCTGATTTAGTACTTGTCTTTCAGCAGCAGGTACAGTTAGTCTTGTTACATGGTCACATTCATTTCAGGGAGTTAAGCGAGCCAGACTCATACTGCAAATGGCCAGGAAGGCAAAGCCAGACAACAAGAGTCTTTAGCTTGTTTTGGAATCAAGACCCCAGAGGTGAATCTCAGTTTTTCAAGCTAGTATTTAGTGCTTCAGAAAAACAAACTAAAGACTTTGATCTTAGGATTCACAGTATTCATAGCTGAAAAACATAGACAAGCACTTACATCTGTCTGCTGGAAATTTGTGTGGCACTTGCATAAAACTGGGAGCACCACCAGCTGAAAATGGTCCTTGTGCCCAACTCGCAGATGCCTTCCAGCACAAAGTGTTATTTCATGTTTCTATCAGCTCTCAACCTATAGAACAACCTACAGAGGGATTCAAAGATTTTCCTGTAACTTTATACATAACAGACTAAGTCCCAGAAACAGAGAGTAAATGTTTTTATTAAACAGTTTACATCATTCTTCTAGATTAGCATTGTTACATATTGTACTTACACAAATTCAGAGTTTGGTTATTTTTCCTTACAAAGTTTCTTTTAACTGCTGATATCATTCACCACTACTAAGAAACTCATGAGGACAGTGCCAGCACTATAAAACAAAACACGTGTCTGAGTATCTAGGCACCGCTTTAAAATTCTGTATCTTAGAGCACAACTTTGCTTGAAACACTTAAGAGAGTTCATAAGTGTTCACTACCAGAGGAGAAATACATTTCACATCAACACTTCAAATGTACAGAGCTGACATGGCTAAAGGTTCCATGTATTAAAAAAAAAAAAAAGGCAGCTGGAATTTTAGTTGTTGTTGTTGTTGTTGTCGAATAATTTTCTTTTTTTGCTAACACAGCTGAGTCCATGGCCTCTAAAAAGGTATATATTTTAATAATTTCTTTGATTGTTCCCATAACAATTCCACAGACCATGACAGCAAGGTCTGTGATTTATGATACCACCAAATCCCCAAGGAAAACTTCAAGCTGCTCCCCCAGCCATCCAGTTGAAAAATCTATTAAGAAAAACCTCCTTTCTGAATTATCTAAACAGCTGAACAACTTGTTAGTACAAAATCTAAGACATCGTCACTGTCAAATTTAAGAAAAACTTAGGGATTTATCATCAAGGTAAAGTATTTCCATTGCTATCTTCAGGGCAAGGAGCAGATCACAGTCTGAAAAAGGTCCTGGCTGTATCAGCCTAAGTCAGGTGCTCCAACTTCCAACACTTTTCAGCAAGAAACGTTGAGCTCCCAGGAGGGGAGCTGAAAAATTGCACACCAGATTCAGCAGAGCTCTGAGGCACATTCTCGATTTTACGTCAGTGGAACATAGTAATATGTTAATACAAAAATATGCTTACATGTTTGGTTGAAACAAAAAGTAAACCCTCTGAGTGTTTTCCCCAGAACTGGTTTGTTGCAGTTAGCTGAGGAGCAGCTTTACCTACGATATTCTATTGGTGTCTCTTGACCTGAACTTCAAGAGATGACTTCTGAGGGAGAGGGAATTTCATTTTTGGTGCTCCTCCTGTCTATTTCTCTATCTCATCTGAGAATACAAGTACAATGTTGTTATGGGTTGGTTTGGGGGATGACCAGAAACCGCATAAACACATCAAATCACTTTTTATGTAATCCACCAGGCAGACAGAGAGTTGTAGATTTTTGTGCACTGTCTCAGCATGTTTGGGTTTTTTTTAATTAAGACAAATAAAGACAGTCATGTATGTTGAGCAATCCACAGCCCCAGAATTCTAGACATCAGATTGATCAGGCCTACTTTTGGTGATCTGGCTTGGAATTGCTGTGAATTACCATGACAGTTTTCATACCAGCTTATAATAAAATACTTATGCCACTTTAATGAAACCAGAAGACTCCTGAACCCTGCTTCAAATGCTAGCATATTTAACTGTTCAACTAGTTTTTCGGGGGGCTATTTTCTCATTAATCCAGTTTACATAGTTTGTCACTCGTGTATATACTCCGGGTTTGTTGACTCTGCCACAGCCATCTCCCCAGCTGATAATTCCATAGAGGTAAGAGATTTCATTTTCCTCACAGGCCAGAGGTCCACCAGAATCTCCCTGTATTAAAAGTAAACAAAGATTATCTAATTTGATAGAAAGCAGTCAGAAAAAGATCAGTTTGGGAAAGTCCTAAATTACGAATGTTTGCATGTGAGATTTAAACTTTAAAAAAAAAAAGAAATGGAAACGTCAGTGTACTGAAGTTTTGTTATAGAAAGCTTGTTTAGCCATACTCATGTCTAATATAATGGCGGATTTTTTTAAATACACATTGAACAAAAGTATCAGATTTTGTTTAAAAATAGGAAATTCTTTTAGATTCAGACACCTCATGAAAAGCACAGTTGATTGAGATCATTTTCAATGGGGGTAAGCAAGTCTTTAGGGATTGGCACTATGCTGTAATATCAGCACTGTATGGATGGGTTACATGGGTCTATTTGGAGAGTTTCTCAATGCAGTCTACTGTAACCGTCAGAGAACGTGAAACTTTTCAAAGAAAGGTGTTGCATATAGACACACTTTTCCATGTGACTGTGGGATGCTGTAATTTTATGTGGCATATGGGGTTTTGGCATCTGTTGAATTTGATGCTACTGAGCATTTACCTTGTCACTAAAACCATAAACCAAAAATCAGCCCAAACTACACTATAGCAAGGATCAATTTGGAACACTTTTACTTATTTTAAAGCTTGCAAACATTCAGGACATGGGTTTTTATTGTTGTTATTATTATTACTACTCTTAGACAGACTTTCTACAGGAATTAAAATGTTAGAAATGAAAAATGTGTACCATTAAATGGTACTGGTGAAAGAGCCACCACTCTTATTTGAGATGAAGGAGAAATATATTTTTTTCCTATTTCAAAAGAAAATTCCTTGAGCGCAAAATACATAGGAAAATTGTGTTGCCTTTATACTAGGAAATTTCTGTGATAAATGACAGACGTCAAATGAACTCTTGCACCTGAGATCAATTTACTTCTCAGAATTTTGCTTATTTTCCACAATCAGTCTCATTGATTGCAATTTTGGTATCAGTGCACTGATCAAAAAAAATTTTCCAAGAAAATCTTTAAAAATTAATCAAGCAAAACACAATATCTGCTTGGCATTTCTTGGTCTTGAAA